TGTGTCACACATTCACACAACTCATGTACAAGCAAACACATGAGGATACAAATCACAACTCACTTAGAATATCCAATACATCTACAGTACGAGGCTGTAGATGGCAATTGCATGAGGGCTTCCAATCTTTGAGTGCAAGGTTTGGATCGGCCCAATCCTTGGTCTTAAACTTGCAGCTGAGAAAAACTGGGAACATCGAATCGTGTTTCAACTTCCACTGCTCCTCTTCTCGTTGCCGCCTTCCCTCGTCGAATCCTACATTTATGTTCTGTGAATATGCATGTAAATCAGGATGATGGTCGTGAATGATGTCATTCATTTCAAATTCCGGCCGTGGAGGTGACCCTGGTGACGGTGGCATATTCAGAACTGGCGGTTCCTGTGCGTCCCCAGCAAGGGCGTCCATGAGTGCGCCCGATCTAGCTTCAGCTCGGGCACGAGTGCGACACCTCCATTCCAGGCATCTAGCATCCAAATCGGTGGTAGGTCGGCGATTGAGGTTTTTTTTTCGATGATTCCTACTCTTCTTCTTGTTGGTAGCCATCGTGATTTAGGTTTGGAACATGCGGGGATGTGGAGATCTGTTTTGGAAGCTTGCAGATACGAAGATTTTGGAAATTGGGTATGATTGAGAATTTCAAGAAGCAAGTCGTTTGTGGGGGAAGTACTTACATAAAATAAGTTGCGTATTTGAAATACATGTACAAACTAGGTTTTGCAAACACATTTAAGGAAACCTAGTTTACCTTCTATTTGAATTCCAATACACACAAACTGTTTGGCTAATATACAGGGGGGCTTTTAAGTTATAGATGTTGATTGAACACATACATACAGGGGTACTGGATAGACTCCGACATATGTGATGGTATGGTCCATCCGTCACATTCACAAATTATTCCTTTTCCCCAGACTTTACCCACCTACAAACTTTCAGCCATCTTTTTCATGATGTAGGTTATGATGTAGGTTCACAATTACATGTCATGGGGGTCTTTGTAAAACATTCAATACTCCACACTGTTACACATAAATAGTGTATAGGTAACCTTCAGGTGAATATGAATGCACCACCGGGGAAATCAGGGGTGTTGATGACCCCTAGACAACACTCCAACCATGTCTGATAAGGAATTTAATAGGTTTTTTCACATAACTTTTTTGTGTGTAACCTTCTGGTGAAAGTGAATGAATTTAAAAGGTTTTTTTACACATAACTTTTTTGTATGTAGACTTTTGGTGAATGTGATTGCGCCATTGGATTCAGAGGCCTTTATTACCCCCTAGACAACATCCCAACCTTGTCTAGTAGTGGTGTGGAAGACAGTCAAGTGTTTGATTGTCATTTGGTACACTGGATGACTCATACGTGATTTCAGGATGTTTTTTTACACATAACTTTTTTGTGTGTAAACTTTTGGTGGAGGTGATTGGACCATTGGTTTCAGAGGCCTTTATTACCCCCTAGACAACATCCCAACCTTGTCTAGTAGTTGTGTGGAAGACAGTCAAGTGTTTGACTGTTATTTGGTACAGTGGTTGACTGATACGTGATTTCACACTACACCAAATGTAATCTTTACCCGGCGGTAAAGAAAACTACTGACATAGAAAAGTCCTGAGGCAACAGGAAGAGAGCTAAAAATCTGAAAAAATATGCACCTTGTTCCTAGATGTTGGGGCGTCATGATGAGTATTGTTTTGTATTTTACATGCAGATATTGGTTTATGTACTAACAATAAAGGCTGAGAATCATCAAAAACTCACCTGTAACAATACCTGAAATTTGGCTCTTGAGTATGAAGACAGGATTTTGTAATCTACAAACATCAATAACTTTTGCAGTTCTGCTCCAAATAACTCGATTTTTGGTTCATTCAAAAGCTGGACTATTCTCCTTCACACTTCTTAATGTTAGTAAGGTGCCATCCTAGTTCAGTTTAAACAGCTCTACATATAGTTCAAACACGTTCTCGCATGAGATTGACTCTGTATGGATCTATTTTTAGACCAGCTACAGATGTGATGTCTCACACTACCCAGAATGTAATCTTTACCAGGCGGCTGCGATTATGTCTACTTTCTCTGCTCAAGAAGACTTCGCTTTGCCTCCTGTACCTCCCGCCATCACTTCCTTTCTATTGGCTGCTGTCCAAAAGAAATGGGATAAGGTCCTGAACTTATTAGATAGTGGTGCCTCAGTCACCATGTTTAGAGATCAATCTGCTTTCAAGACCTATTCTGAATGCTCGGAAGATGTTTATCTAGCCGATGGTAATTCTATTCAAGCTGTAGGAAAAGGGACTGTTATTGTAAAAGGAATTGACAATGTCGAACT